CACGCTGACACTTGGATGAGCGGTACGTCGATGAGCCGGTTCCACGCCGACACTTGGATGAGCAGCGCGTCGATGAGCCGGCTCCACGCCGATACTCGGATGAGCGACACATTGATGAGCCGGCTCCACGCCGACACATGGATGAGTCGGATCCGCGTCGTCGTTTTGATGAACCGGCCCCGCACCAGCACCCTGACGAGTCAGTCCTGGTCGAGAGGCTACAAAGAAGAATTGAAGAGTTAGCGAAGAAGGTGGAGGCATGGGAGCAATCGCCGGAACCCGAGGTATGGATGGTAGCGCCATTTTCCCTAAGTATAATGGATGTGCCTCTGCCGAGAGACTTTAGGATGCCCGCCATCAAAGCATACACGGGGACCACCGACCCACTTGTCCACATGACGAGATATAAGGCTGCTATGGTAATGATTGGGGCGGGGGATGCCGTCATGTGCCGAGCATTCTTGTCCACCTTGGATGGAGCGGCCCAAGACCGGTTCAACACTATCCTGGATGGGTCGATCCAAAATTTTGGAGAGCTATCCAAGAGCTTCCTGACATACTTCTCCAGCAGCATACAACGTAAGAAACCCTTCTCTCACCTCTGCATAGTAAAGCAAGACAGAGGCAAGAGCCTCAAGGATTTCTTAAACAAATGGAAAAAGGAAGTCAATAATGTCTACAACTTTGACTCCAAGGCGGCGATCCCGGTATTTATCTATGCCCTAAGGTCAGGGTATTTTCACAAGCAGCTAAACGCTCATCAACCCCGCTCCTACGAAGATTTGATGAGGACAGCCAACCGTTATGCGGAAGCAGAGGACGTTGATGGGAAGAAGAGGATGAAGAAGATGGTAGAAAAAGTGGGAAGCCTGGGAAAGCTAGTCCGCCCAGTCAGGTACCACGCGCAAACAGGGAAAGACCGAGACCACGAGCGACCTTGCCTGGTCCCCCTATGTAATTTAACTCCTCTTACCCATCCCGTCAGTGTCATCCTAAAGCAAGCTGAGGAGATGAGAATGGTAGAATTCCCCGAGGAGTGCATGAAGGTTGATGAGCAAATGTTTCATAGGCAGACCAAACAAAGTACTGCAGGTTTCATAGGCAAGCCAGCCACGATACAGATGAGTGTCACGTTTTGAAGAGACAAATAGAAGAAACTCATCCAGCAGGGCTACTTCCGACATTTCGTCAAGTGATCCAAGCAGCAGCAACAGCCGCAACACAATCCACCAAAAAATGTCTGGAGGAATGAGGATGGCACCGAGCCGTCCACCTCGAATGCCAAAAAAAGAGAACACGACCAAATATCTAAGCAGAATGATAGCGAGAAAGAAATCGAGGTGGCGCCCAGACGACAAAAGAAACACACCATACACTTTATCTATGGTGGACCCGCAGGGGGTGACACGCCCGCAAAAAGAAAGAAGTGGCGCCGGCAGCTATACGTGGGAGAAGTGGTGAGTCTTCCTGTAGAAAAGAAACAGAGATAGGAGGTCATCACCTTCTCTAATGATGACCTCCCAGAGGGCCCGTTACCCCATCGTGACGCCCTGGTGATTGAAAGGGACGTCAACGATGTCATTGTCCGCCGCATCTTAGTCGACACGGGAAGCTCAGTCAATATGATGTATTACGATGCCTTTACCAAGTTAGGGATACCTAGGAACCAGCTCAAAGAAGTACGTACCCCACTCTTTGGATTTACGGGTGATTCAGTGGAGACGGAGGGGTCAGTGGTCTTACCAGTGGAGATAGGCACGAGACCTAACATTCGCAAACTTGACGTGGAATTCATCGTGGTAAGACTCACTTGTGCTCACAACATCATATTGGGGAGGCCGACACTGGAGAACCTCAAGGCCATAGTGTCGGTGGAACACTTGTGTATGAAGTTCCCTACTCCGAATGGGATAGGGGTCGTCAGAGGAGACCAGCGAGCAGCCCGCAATTGTTACGTAAAAGCATGCAAAAAGATTGGCAGAAAGGATCTACAAGTCCACACCATCTGCAAGGATGATCGACCGGGTATGGAACTCGGAACATTTGATTAAGTATTTTCCTTAATATTCTGGTACTCATTTGGGACTAGTGCTTGGTAATCGCGGTCCGCCCGCTTTATATTATGAAATCTTTTGGAATAATATCTTGTATTCATGGTCCGCCCGTGTTGTTTATTGAGGCATAATCATCATTTACGAAGCGTCTTCAGAAAAATGGTCCGCCCATGTTGTTTATTGAAGCAAGTTCGTTTTCGGCATCCATGGAACGCCTTCGAAAAAAAAATAAAAAATAAAAGAGATTGGCCGAGGCGCGCGCCTCCGCCACATTTCGGCCGAGGCGCACGTCTCAGCCGGCCGAAGCCCGTCTCGGCCTTCAAAAAAAAAAACAAAAAAAAAACAGGCCGGAGCCCGCCTCGCCCGAGGCGCACGCCTCGGCCACGATCGGTCGAGGCAACGCCTCGACCACGATCGGCCAAGGCGACGTCTCGGCCACGAGCGGTCGAGACGACGCCTCAGCCACGATCAGTCGAGGCGACGCCTCGGCCACGATCGGCTGAGGTGCACGCCTCTGCCATGATCAGTTGAAGCGACGCCTCGGCCGCGATTGGCCGGAGGCACGCACCTCAGCCAGCCTAGGCCGCAGCCCGTCTCAGCTAGCATACAAAAAAAAATGGGGGTCGAAGCTCGTCTCGGCCACGATCGGCCAAAATGCGCGCCTCGGCCTGCCAAACTAGGCCGAAGCCCGTCTCGGCCAGCATAAGAAATAAAATAAAATCATATGTTATTTGTAAAATAAAATCACATATTCAGGATCAACCGGGATTCTGCACGATATCAAGCAAATTCAGTCTTACTCTTAGTCAACTCAAACACATCCGTAGACTCAGGAGTAGGGGGGACTGGTGACAGGATAATAGGGCTGGCACCCGACCCGGATCATAAGTGGGCATTCGATGCGGCGCCATATTTGACCCGGCACCACATGGAAACCCAACGAACAGAACTCCAACGGACAGAATTCCAACAGGTGTCACCTTTATTGCCATTGAAGCCACCATTGATGAGAGAGAATTAAAGGCTTAGCTCCCTATTTATGTCCCATGTTGTTACCGTTAGCACCCTGGTATAAGTTGATACTCCCCTCGACTTGGGAGGACACATTGACTATTTTGTACTAAAACACTTGGCAATACAACTATTGTCACTCCTTTACATTGCGTTACTCTAATATTATTACTACCGGTAACATTTTTACCGTCAAATCTAATATAGGCTAGTCCAAATCCCTAATTAAAGTTCTAGCCAATAATCATAATTAAATGCATAAACAATTCAAGGAATATTATTCTGAAAATTTAAACAAGAAATAAAGTAGGGAAGAAAAATAATTCAAGCCTAAGAGATGATAGATGCGATTGAAGTTTGAAAATTCCTTGCAATGGAGCCTTGAATTACTTCGCTTCCTCGCTGAAATCTCCTCCCTGAAGTCGCCGCCGCTCCCAAGCTTTCTTTTTTCCCTATTCTTTTCTTTCTGCTTTTGTCTCCTCCGTCCGAACCCAAAGTTCAAACCATTTAAAAGGATTTTCTTTTTGCCTTTTTTCTTCTACTGCCGTGAAAGAAAACAAAACCCCATCCTCCCTAATTCTCCTTTTTCTTTTCCTTATATTGTGCGCCAATCTGCCCAAGAAAACAAAGAAAACCAATTTAATTTAAAGCAAAACAATTATATCCTAATGACATAATTAACTTAATTAAACTTAAGTATTAAAATACTTATTTAAACTTGAAGATATAAAACTACCTAATAAATCTAATACTATAACTAAAATAAAACTCCTACTTATATTAATAAAAATGCAACATTAGCCTAATATTTATTAAAACCCATCTAAACTAGTCTAAACTAGTAACATATAATTAAATATAATATTTATAATAAAATTAACCCTAAAACTTAATTTATTAAAGCAAATCACTTACTAAAATTCCTCTAAATAATGCCTATAAATTAAGCTTATCAGTCAACCCTACTTTCCTTGTAGATTTTGGCTCCACGTCTACCCTACTTCCCTTGTACAGATTTTGTATTCTTGAATAAGTATCCCCCTGGGATCATTGTGTAAAGGGATCTCTTTTTCAGCTTCTTTAGGCACTCAAGCGGTCGAAGCCCTAGAGAAACAATATCGCATTATTCTCTCTTTTTTCCATCATAAGCTCTACGTTTATAGTATTTTACGGTAGTGTTGGCCCGCCGACCGGCAACCCGGAAGCCGTAAAACCAACATTGGCGACGTCCGTGGGGATCAAAACTAAAGGTCCTGTCTCTAAGCATTGCTAATGGCTCGTACCCGACATAGCAACCGGAATAAAGGATAAAACGGCGTGGCCCTGCCGGCAAACGGTCACGTTGCTATCGTAGTCAACGCAGGAGATTTACCAGCTGGCAGCCGCGCCTCTGTGGGCGATCTAAGGGAGCAGTTAAGTTGCCGCACTTCGGGCGGGCAGTCAGCCGCACGTACCGAGCGTACTGTCGCGTCGACTCATGAGTCACCAAGAATGGATCAACCACCACCCATCGCTCAGGCCCAAGCCAACTTCGCCGAGTTGATGGCGCAAGCGTTCGATGCGTACGTACGGGAAAGAGGACAAGTTCCGCCTGCCGCGAACTTGCAACCCGCGCGATCCGTTCTTGCGGGGGACCGTGACGAGGCCTCTCAGCATCTGGGGCGCTTAGAACGGCAAACACAAGGGAGCCCGCACGCGGCCCGCTTAGTGCATTCACGGCTAGGCCCCGCGGTTCCCGCTCGGTCGGTAGTAGACCGGCTGGGGGCTCGAGCCAGGCAACGCTCCCCCGCTCACTCAGTCTTGGGGGGAAGAAAGCGACCTGAGGGGGAACCGCCCCGAGCCGTCATTCAAAGAAGGATAGCTGCCCGGCGCAGGTGAGAGGTCATTGAAGGTACATGGGAGTCACTCTTGATCCCGGAGCCGCCCAACTTGGTGATGACCGACTTCGCTACCATAGTTCAGGAGCTCCGACGCAAGGTTGAGGATAAAGAAAGACCGCCGACGGACAGTTTGCTAACCGCATCCCCCTTTTCGGCAGAGGTGCAGGATTATAGGGCATCGACGGGGTTTAAGCTACCCGATCACCCCACCTACGATGGGACGGGTGACCCGCGACACCATGTTATCAGTTTTCAGGCCAAGATGCAAGTAATTGGCGCAGACGCTTCGATTATCTGCCGTGCGTTCTTCCCTACATTGGTGGGGCCCGCCCAACGGTGGTTCCTGAAGCTGCCCGCCGGATCGATTGGTGACTTCGAGGAGCTGGCCCGTTTGTTCTTGACACACTTCGCAAGAAGCATGAAACCTAAGAAGTTCGTGTCAGACTTATCCCGGGTACACCAAGATGAAGGAGAGAGCTTGCGCAAGTACATTGTGCGATGGCAAAAAGAGGCCCAGGCGATCGATGGCCTGGACGACCAGATAGCCCTGACATTTTTCATTGAATCCTTGAGGGCAGACGGATACTACATCAAGCTACGGGATAAAAATCCCAAGACGTATGCTGAAGCTATTAAGAGAGCCAACCAGCTAGCCGATACGGAAGAAGCAGTCAGACAGAAGCGGCGACTAGAGGGGTCCTCCTGCAAGCACCCCCTGGTAGTTAGTCCCCGCGAGGGGCGAACGTTGGACTTGGGGAACATTCGTGTGAGAGATCACTGGGTGCAAGACCGGTTGGGAGCTCCCGCCTATCAGTCGACAGCACAACCTGTCCACGAAGTTCACCCCGAGCTGCCTCCTCTTCTTCCCATCCGGCCGGGCGACAAGCCGGAAGTGGTCGGCACAACTGCCACACGCTATTGCAGGTATCACCGCACGAATACTCACACCATGGAAGAATGCGAAGGTCTGAAGGAGGAGATTGAGACGCTCATAAATTGCGGCCGGCCGCTATCCCCCAATCAATGGTGTCGGTCAGGTTCGCAGTGGCAGAAAGAGGCTCCCGCTCCGGTCGCCCCGAGAGCCTATTCAAGAGGAGGATGCTGATAAGAATTAGAAGCATAAGCCAGTGATCAACATGATAGTAGGGGGTTACGAAGGTGGCGATTCTGCGAGAGCCCGGAAAGCCCGAGCGCGACAGTTGTACGTAGGAGCGATAGCCTTCCATGAGTCGAACCGTAAAAAACCATGCAGAGAAGTGATCATCTTCACGGATGATGATTTACCGTGGGGTCCCACCCCTCATCGGGACGCCTTGGTGATAGCTATGGACGTCTAGGGGTCGGTCATCCGTCGAGTACTGGTGGATACGGGTAGCCGCGTCAACGTGCTATACTTGGCAGCTTTCCAGAAGATGAGATTGCCTAAGGAACATTTGCGACGGTCAGGACCCCTCTAGAAGGCTTCACAAGCGATGCTATCGAGGCCGAGGGGTGCACCTCCCTTACGGTGGAGTTGAGAACATGGCCCAGGTCAGAACACTGGAGATGGAATTCGTGGTGGTCGCTCTGGAATGCACGCACAACACTATTCTTGGCCGACCCGGGCTGGAAGACTTGGGCGCCCTAATCTCCATTGAGCACCTATGTATGAAATTACGTACGCCGTTCGGCGTAGGGATGGCGCGATGCGACCAGAAGATGGCCCGCAATTGTTATTTGCAAGCTTGCCGGAAGATGGGACAAAGGTTTGATCGGGTGAACACCATCGCCCACCAGACGACTAAGCGGCCGACCCCAACGGTCGAGCTAGAGTAAATCATTTTGGAGCCCGATCAACCAGAAAGGATAATACGGATTGGGGTAGGCTTGCCTGCATCCGTAAAGAGGGTAGTCATTGAGGTACTGAGAAGCTATAAGGAGATATTTGCCTGGAGACTTAAAGACATGACGGGCGTCGACCGGGCAATGATAACGCATCGGTTGGCAGTCAACCCCAGTTTTAGGCCTGTAGCTCAAAAGAGGAGATACTTTTCAAACGACCGCATGGATTTCGTAAAAAAGGAGGTAGACACCTTGATAGCCTCAGGACACAGCCGAGAAGTCAAATACCCTGGTTGGCTGGCCAACGTGGTGTTGGTGCCCAAGCCGCCGGCGTGGAGGATGTGCGTAGATTACATGGTTCTTAACAAGGCGTGCCTAAATGACCCTTTTTCCCTGCCACGAATTGATCAGCTAATGGATGACACGGCCGGGTGCGCATTGCTTAGCTTCATGGATGCCTTCCGTAGATATCATTAGATATTCATGCACGAGGCGGACGAGGAGAAAACCGCATTCGTAGCCCCGGATGGGGTTTATTGCTATAAAGTCATGCCGTTTGGCCTCAAGAACGCGGGAGCCACCTATACCAGGATGGTAGCTCGACTGATCAAAGATCTGATTGGAAAGTCCATGGAGGCCTACGTCGATGACATGTTAGTCAAGAGCAGAGAGGAGACGGATCATGCCAAAGACCTGGCGGATTGTTTCAGTGTCATGAGAAAATACAACCTGCGGTTAAATTCTAAAAAGTGCGCGTTCGCGGTCAGAGGGGGAAAGTTCTTAGGGTACATGGTCACCTGGCGAGGATTCGACCCTAATCCAGAGAAGGTACATACTATCCTGGACATGCAGCCCCCCGGTAACCCCAAGGAATTGAAATACAACATCTGACCAGCCGGATGGCCGCCCTCAGTCGATTCCTGTCTAAGTCCGCCGATCGGGCCCTCCCCTTCTTTGAAGCTATGAAGAGGCGTGAAGGGTTCCGGTAGACTGGAGAATGCTAGACCTCCTTTGAAGATCTCAAAAGGTATCTCTTGTCGCCCCCTCTTCTATCTAAGCCCAAGGAAGGTGAACCGATGTTGCTATATCTAGTCGCCTCCCAAAAGGCAGTCGGGTCGGTTCTCGTGCGCGAAGAGGATAAAGTTCAACTACCCGTGTACTACGTCGGGCGAACCCTGAATATTTAAAATATACCATAAAAATATTTGAAAATACGTTATTAGGATCATGCAATCCATCATACTACAAATGACTATTTAAAATTAAAAAATCTTTGTGTATGTTATTATTATTATTTTTGAAAACTTTATGTTATTAATTAATATTTAATAAAATCAGAATTTTAGAAAATAAATTCGAATAATAAAAATTGTATATTATTGCGTTCTTCTCAACTTTTAAGGGGAAAGTTGCCTTCTTTAACTTTGAAAAAAAAAGTGAAAGAATGCAATATATTTGCATATTTTGTGGTTACGGATAAAAGAAAGAAAAAGAAAAACAAATAAAAGGTAGTTGTAGTGCAACGGCAATTTATATCATGCACCAGGGCGCACAATACGAATTACGAACATTGCATTGTGCGCCCTGGTGCAAAACGACGTCGTTTTGTACTTTTTTTTTTAAATTTAAATTTCGCTTTTCCGTGTTTGCTGTTAATTTGTTAAAAATAAATTCATGTTTTGAAAATGTACATAATTGTATACTAAACTGTACATAATTGTATATGGGAATGTACATAATTGTATAATAGAATACACATAAACTTTTAACCGCGTGTTCGAATGTACATAATTGTATAAAAAATATACATAATTATATAAAATAATGTACATAATTGTATATCAGAATGTACATAATTGTATAACATAATGTACATACTTATATAACATAATACACATACACTCTGTCGCGTCGATTCCCCACATGCACAACTTAACAAAACGACATCGTTTTGGGAGGCACGGGCCGCACAGTGCTATGTGCACCGTAGTGCAGGGTATAACGATTGTAGTGCAACTACCTTCTTTTCAAATACAATTTTGGAAAAAAAAAAGTAATAACATGCAGGGACGGATCTAGAAATTTTTTCTTAAATAGTAAAAAAAAGTATTAAAAATGTGATTGTGTTGAAGAAAAGATTTAAACCCATGACTTTCATTATAACCAAACAAATATTTTGCCAACAAATCTAGCTAACTCACTTCTTATTAACATTCATCTGTTTTTTATACTAATACTAAAACTTATATATACATACAAATGTTATATATGGGGTGGGGTGGGGGTGGGGTGGGGTGAGGGGGGCAACTGCCCTCCCGCCCCCGGCCCTTTGACTCCGTCCTTAAATCTTGATAACATGTACTTTACACAAAATTGTCTAGGTTTTGAATCTACACAATTTTGTTTCAACCTTGTCAAATCAACACAATATTGACTATGACTCTGATCAGTGATAACTAAGGATTCACGTAGACCATCTTGCAATGTTTATACAGAGATGGATGACATAGAGTTATAATATATACTAAGGACATATATATATATATATATATATATATATATATATATATATCCTAACAAATTTTGTACTCCAGAAAAGAAGTTACGAGTCGTCAACTTAATGGAGACGAAGTTATGTGCAGTGGACAGTGAATTCAGAACAGCAGGCAGCAGAGCAGCGGTGGCAGAGACAATCCGCTTGGAACTAGCAAAGCTGCCATGAAAGTCCTGTGCCATCAAGAAACCTGAGCAGTTGATACCATATGATATACTTGTTAGACTAAAATATCACATGCATGAAAGAATATGTGATCATAGGATCGACTAACCTCCAGCCATAGTTCTTCTTACGGTTGAGCGATCCGGGCTGCTGCAGAGATGATAAGTGCTTTGTCTCTCACTTTACTCAGCTCTCTCTAGATGGTGTATGAGGTATGTAATGTGAGCAGTGAGAGGACTAGTGACCTTATATAACCACTGGCCATCATTGTGGTTGATTGTCTTTAGGTCTCCTAAACCCTAACCAGACTCCTAATCATAATGGTAGTCTAGCTATTAGGTTATTAGTGTTGCACCACATATCAAATACTGAATATTATCATAACTTATCCTAATGTTATAATAATAGTAACGGATAAACGTTACATTCTCCCACTTGGTGCAAGCACTACCACTCAATAACAGAAAAACACCAACCATAATGATATGTTCTCATTAGCACGAGTAGTATCCATTATGATCAAATGCAAACTGCCATTGGGCACTTAATTAGGAAACAAAACCCAACGAAATAAACCCTATGTTTATTCCAAGTCCCTGAAGTACATTTTCTCATCAATATGAAGCAAATGAAGGTGTACACACTTAATTGAGAAAATGTCTGAATGCCAAAGAATTTTAAACTGAATGTATATACAAATTCCATAGTGGGAAAAAATCCCATTTTCTGAACCAGATCCTTGAATTTAACTGAAGGCATGCATTTAGTCAAGGGATCTGCTGGCACCAACTCAGTATGAATGTGTTCAAAGAATACAACTTTATTTTTGACACGATTCCTAATTGCTAAGAACTTGATGTCGATGTGCTTAATTCGACTCCCACTTTTGTGGTCTTAGCTAGGAAGACTGTAGCTGAGTTGTCACAGTAGACTTTCAATGGCTTAGATATAGAATCCATAATTCTAAGCCCAGAGATAAAATTCTTTAGCCAAACACCCTATGAAGTTGCCTCGAAACTGGAAACGAAATCGGCTTCCATGGTAAAAGTAGCTATTAAGAACTGTTTAACACTTCTCCATGAGATAGCCCCACTGGCCACAATAAAGACGCACCCTGATGTTGATTTTTGAGAATCAACACAGCCAGCAAAGTCCGCGTCTGAATAACCGACAAGATCTAAATTGTCCGTCTGCCTAAACCCAATCTTGTAACCTTTGGTTCATCTTAGATACCTTAGAACCCTCTTTACAGCTCTCCAAAAGTCTAACCCTTAGCTATGGGAGCAACATTAGATGAACAATTTTGCACATGAAATCTCTCTAAAACTTTGTTTATATAGGTTTCTTGAGATAAACCCAGTATACCCCGGGACCTATCTCTACGAATTTTAATGCCGATAACGTAAGAGGCATCACCCATATCCTTCATATCAAAGTTCTTAGAAAGAAATTGTTTCACGAAGCATCCCCTTATCATTGGTGGCAAGTATGATGTCATCCACATATAAAACAAGGAAGCAAATTTCACTCCCACTCACCTTCTGGTATATACAATTATCTGAGGGATTTTCAACAAAACCAAATGAAGAAATTACCCCATCGAATTTGATGTACCATTGACGGGAGGCTTGTTTTAAACCGTATATGGATTTCTTAAGCTTACATACTAAATGCTCACCACCCCTAGAAGAGAAACCTTCAGGTTGTTTCATAAAAACCTCCTCTTCTAGATCACCATTTAGGAAAGCGGTTTTCACATCCATTTGTTGCAACTCAAGATTAAAATTAGCAACTAATGCCAGAATGATCCGAAGTGAATCTTTCTTTGATACAGGAGAAAATGTCTCATTGTAATCGATTCCTTCTTTTTTAGTAAATCCCTTGGCAACAAGCCGGGCCTTGTATCTCTTAATGTTGCCTAATGAGTTTCTTTTAGCCTTAAAGACCCATTTGCAATAAACGGCCTTGACCCCATTAGGCAACTCCACAAGATCCCAAACTTCATTGCCCTTCATGGAATTCATTTCATCTTTCATGGCTTCTAACCATAAGTCAGACTGTGCACAATTTGTGGCTCGAGAGAATGTTTCAGAATCATTTTCTGCCCCTATGTCAGATTCTTGTAGATACGAAACATAATAACTAGGAACTGTTGATCGCCTTATCCGAGTAGACCGTCTTAAGGTTGGACCCCCACCGCCTTGCACAGGCTGCGGATCAACTACCTCTTCAGGAACTGGTGGCAGTTCTTGAATTGGTTCAGTCTGCATCGGCTCAGAATCTTGTTGTATATCCTGAGTTGGTTCAACCATTGGTTCGAAATCTAGTTCAGGCGGTTGCTATAAGTCCTGAACTGGTTCTTCCAAAGGTTGATCCTCAACAGTTTGTGGAATCTGAACGGTAGGTGGTATATCTGCAGGCAGAACTAAAGGAGCACTGCGGATAAGTACCACCAGATGACGTAGAAGGGTGAGAGTCAATATGATTGAAAGAAGGAACTAAGTCCTTAAACCGATCACTCCCACTAATCAAGTCACCTTCAAGAAATTCAGGATTCCTTGATTCCACTATCCTAGTAGTATGAGATGGACAATAGAACCTATAACCCCAGAAGATTGTGCATATCCAATAAAGAAAACACAAATCGTCCTTGGGTCAAGTTTCTTCTCGTGTGGGTTATATATCCTCACCTCAGACGGACATCCCTAAACACGCATATGTTGCAAACTCAGTTTCCAACCTTTGAATAACTCAAACGGTGTCTCAGGGACAGCCTTGGTTGGAACAATATACGTTGCCGTTTTAAGTGCTTCATCCCACAACGACTTAGGAAGCTTAGAGTTGCTAAGCATACTCCGCACCATATCCAGAAGGGTCCGATTTCTTCTTTCAGCTACACCATTTTGGTCCGGAGAACCAGACATGGTGTATTGGGCAACAATCCCATGCTCTTGAAAAACTTAGCAAATAGACCAGATGCTTGCCCATTCTCATTGTATCTACCATAGTATTCACCACCCCTATCAGACCTAACTATGTGTATTTTCCTGTTACATTGGTTTTCAACTTCAGCTTTAAATGATTTAAAGGCATCCAATGCTTCATGTTT